GTATAATAGGTAATCTTTTCATAAATGTTATAATCTAAAGCAAACGGGTTATAAGTTACTGAAGAGGAACATCACTTTCTCTACCCAGCCTTGGAGAAAAAGGATTGTAGTTGGTCCTTCCTAGCCTTGGAGAAAAAGGATTGGAGGGCCTGGGAGAAAGCTGATCTGCGTCGACTAACTCCGCCCCGTCCAACCAGTTGGGGGCGGTTTCTCCCGATTCTCTTCCCAATCTTGGAGTAAAATTGTGTTGTTTGTTTGCTGAAATTTCAGATTCTTCTTTTTTTTTAAATATTTTAATAAATTGGAAATTCAAGAACTACCTTCGTTTACGGCAACAACCACTAAAGGAGATTCTCTTAAAACATCCAAGAGTGATTGTTCTTTTTCGTTTCTGTAGACCTTGTTAATGTCATTGCGCTTTTTCCTACCAATGCGAGGCCCAAACCACATTGGTGAGGCTTCTCTATGTCCTCGATCATTCGGAGAATCAAATGACTCTGCTTCTAGAGTTGCTAGGAAAAGAAAATAGTTTGCACACCAAAAGTCACTAGGTATACAAGGTGTTCGGAATAACTTGAAGTACCTACATTGGAATTTTGGAAACCATTAAAGATACAAGGTGAACCAAATGGGAAAAAAGTTGCGCAATCAAGTGCCTACAAAAAATAAACTTCTTTGAACTCGGAATAGCTACAGGGCAAAAAAGAAAAAAGTGCGTTTCATAAAATCCTTTATATGTATGTGGTTTGTTACAAAAGATACAATCAAGAAATTTCCAGGGTCGGTGTAGAACTATGTAGATGTAATATACATTTGATATACAATACAAGGACTTTATAAAGTGCACTTTTTTCTTTTTCGCCCTGTATATTCATCGCTCAAAGAAGTTTATGACAGATTATTTGTTGCTTGATTGCGGAATTTTTCTCCATTTGATCAGCAATGGTTTCCAAAATCCCCATGTACCTACTCCAAGTTATTCCGCACAAACTGTATAAGGTTAATCGACTGAATTCTAAATTGTCCTTTATTAAAAAAAATTGAGCCTTTATTACCATATTGTGCTCTTCAAAAATATGAAACCAAATATAGAGCATATTCCATATTTGAAAAAAGCATGCAACATTTTACACTTTCAAGATTCAAATTTAATTTTAATCATCAGAAAGTGGGGTGTCAATATACCTAATTTGTGGAAACATTTAAATACACACTTTGGTGCATATAATTATTAATTAGCCCTTTACAAAATAGCCTAAGAATCTTTATTTGAAAAAATTGTTTACGAGAAAACTTACCACAATAGAAAAAGACCAGCAACAATACAAAACTATTTACAACACTTATCCTGGTCATGACTCAAATTTGGATGCTGAACAGTTTCTGAAGATCTTGGTGTCGACTGGTCCGGTTTTATAGGGGATCGCCAATGGCCACGGATTAGCATCTAATCGCTAGTACGTGCAGCGACGGGATCCGCACTCCCGGAGTGTGATTTATTTCGTTTCTGTCCAGATAATCCTTTATCCGAGCGGGGTAAACAAACATGTTCCCTTTTATTCTTTTCTTAGTTATTCTCGTAGACACCGGCGGGATTATTAAAGATGCGTGCTGGATTAGGCCTAAAGAGTTTCGGCGGTTGAATAAGTTTAACGCAATTTGTTTTTTTTTACGTTCCCTGGTACTACAAAGTTAATTGTAATTAATAGGCAAAACTTTTTCAGGATATTGGCTTCAGATAAAACATTTTTCAGCTTAATGCTTGCTTGATTCAAGGGCAATGGCTTTCCAAATTATTCTATCCTTCTTTTTGGTTCAACTTCAGGATTATATGCTAATAAGAATACTTTTTTTGAATGCCCAACAAATTTTCAACGCACACTTGAAGTAATTCTTTGATCATTATTTGTACTAAATGATCAAAAGACGTTATGTTTTTCATCACACCCAACATTTTTTGGTCAAATATAGGAAATTGTAATAAATTCAAGTCGAGGCACTTCGACTTCGACAAAAAATTTAATGGTAGAAAAACGAGACCTCATGATATCCAAGGATAAAGGTTGAGTGTTTGGGGATCAATAAAACAGTAAATAAATAAATTAAAGATGATCTGAGAAGACGCAACAGAAAAATCGAAAGAGTTATCAAGAAATGTAGTGGTTAATAGTTGATATAAAATATTTGGAATTTGGGATTGTACCACGCCACTGTTTAGCACATGGCAATTAGTTGGTAAGGAGAGAGTGTTTGTGACAGTTGTCAGAAAATAGGAGAGAATCTGTCACCTTCGTCACCTTTGAAGAGGTGCTTCACTGGAAGATCGCTTCGGGTGCATTTTGCTGTTGACTGGATTTTTGCAATCAGAAGAATTGTCAAATATAGCAAGATCCGTCCACTGGACGTTTTCAAAGAAGGTGTAAGGTGGAGGAGGAAGGGGCCTTGACAGGTGAAGAGCGACGGCCCTCACAAGTTTGGGAGTACTACTGTACTCATGCTGCGGCTAATTGAACTTTCATTGACTACGTACTTTAGAGTTCGATACATCGGCATATCATTGAGTTAGCGTTAGTTCGTAGATTAGGTTTTAGATATAGATGGTTTTTTTTTGCTCCAATATTTTATTTGAATTTAATATATCAGTGTGAGTCAATAAAATATCCGATTTGAAGCACCTAGTTCATTTGGCGCCCAACGTGGGGCAATAAAATGTTCTCAGGTCGGATAAGGTTTTCTGGATTGATGTAGTGGTATTTTCGATAACATTTAATGTTGGCTATTTGTAGTTCATTTAGTTGAATATTTTGTAGTCAGATCTGAGAAAAATGCCTCCAAGAAAAGGTAAAAATAAAAAACGAAATCACGTTTTGGACGGTTCTGCTGTTTTTTTTCCGAAAACTTTGATCAGGAACGGAAACAATGGGCCACAGCAGCAGCGTCAGGTAATATTGAACCTTCGGAAAAACTCATGCTGAATTTAGGTCATAGATTTAGGTAAGAATTTGACAGCCACATTGTCAAGTTGTTTCGAGGAAATAAATCAGACTCTTAATAAGAACTTAATCGAAAATTTTGCTAGGTTGCAGAGCGATGTTTTAGTTAAGCAGGGCCAGAGCAACTATAGGGCTGGATGTACAAGCCAGCAGGACGAAGCTAGGTATTCTTTATCTGTTAGGGTTGAGGGTGATGGTCCCGAGAGGAGTAGAGCTTGTATAACAATTTGGAAAGATTTAGGGGATACAAATCTTTTTTTTTTCCCCAGGTAGTACCTACGTTACATCCGGTTGGTGTTTATGCGGTTGCACTTCGCGAGTAATTGTATGCGCGGTTCAGCTTTGGACTGGGTCGAAATTAAAAAGTTCAAAGACTTTGAGGAATTCAGAACTGCGTTTTTAAATCCTTATTGGGGGTTGGAAAGGGAACGGGACACTTTGTTGAAAATAAAATTTGGTAGTTACGAACAGGGTTCTTGGGCTGATTATTTATGAGCTCAACTTTCGTTTAGCTGAAATTAGGTATATAAGAGATGTTGTTTTAGTTGTTTTCAGAAAGTCTTTCTTTTATCAGACACACATAAAGGACCCAGCGCACTTCTTATGGGATTTTGGTTGAACGCAGAATTTAACCAAATTTTGGTATGTTGTATATTTCGACCTGCTGAGTAAAAGTTCTCATGGGTACAAACCGATCCTATGACTAGTTTCGGATATACAGGTGGCTTTCTAATACTACCTTAGGCAACCTAAGTACCTATATAAAGTGTACATAAAGCAAAAAAACTTGCATGTATTGCTTTAAAAGTTGTTTATTTCATCTTTCCTTAACTAAAAATGTTTAGTAGGTGTTCGTAACTCTTCCTTTATATACCAGGGGCGCTCAACCTCTATGGCTAAGCTAAATGAGTTAGGTAATGACCAAAAATGTTCAAAAGTGTGAAAAATTGTGTACTTGTAGGTACTCAGGTACCTACGTTTTGTGATAAAAGTGACTTTCTATCTCAATGAATTCCAGTTCTCGCTACGCTTATGCTAAAAACTTTTTGCCTCATGATCCCTTGGCCTAGGGTTTAAGTGTTTAGTTATTAGGTATACATACACTTGGTGATTTGTTTGAAAAATCCGAACAGCCATGGAAAGGAAAGCAATGAAAATAGTTTTTTCATATGTCATTTTTCACTTGGTAACCATGGAAACCAAAACAGTGACCCTGTCAATAAAGCGAATTGTCTTTTTCGTCACCTTTCTTGTAAAAATGGCAATTCGGGAAAGGTAATGTGCTACGTGTGCAATGAAGGACTAGAGTAAGAGTAAATCGCACTGTTTTATTACTGAAAGATGCCGAAGTCCGTAGATTGGCTGTAAAGCGTCGAAACGAGTTAGGATTTGAGGATGAAAATCTTATTGTTGAGAACTCAAGGTGGATTTTGACATTGAAAACTTTGAAACATAAACAATAACGCTTGGCCCTGATTGGTCGGAAAATGAGGTGCTCCTGCAGGTTGTAGTCAGTTTCACAATGCATGAGGTGCAAATGGCATCTTGCGACCAATAAGCGGCATTGTTTATGTTTCAAAGTTGACAGTGTCAAGTCAAAATCTATCTTGGGAAAAAATACAGTATATAGTTTATCATACTTCTATTTGTGTTTGTTTTAAAAACACACAAAGGTCCACCAAACAAGTACTATATATAGGCACCTAACTAAAATCATGCACCTTTCTGTAAAAGGTCTAAACTTAATCAACATTTTTCAAAGCTACCTACCTCTACCACAAATAAACGCAAAAAAGCATGAAAATTCAGTATTTTCAGGTTGCCTGAGGTAGTATTAGAAAAACCCCCGTATATCCGAAACTAAGGATCGGTTTGTACCCATGAGAACTTTTACTCAGGAGGTCGAAATCTACAACATACCAAAATTTGGTTAAATTCCGCGTTCAACCAAAATCCCATAAGAAGTGTGCGGGGTCCTTTTTCTGCGGAAATGCGTCATTTCCATTTTCCGGACTTTAGAATAGCTGAAATCAGTTACATTGAAAAAATTGCTTTGCATGTTTTGTTTCTAAATTCAATACATGCAAGGACTAGTAGCGTAGCCCGGGGTGGGGGGGAGAGGGGCATTTGCCCCCCCAAAATCTTTAAATTTTATAGATAATTCTTGAAAATTAGAAAAAATGATCCCAAAAATACTGTTAAAAGACCCAAAAAAACCGCCTTGCATTCAAAAATTTCGCGACTGCGGCTCTTTGCCTTCGGCAGCACTTGCGATGAACCAACAAGAAACACTTCCTGCAAATTTGTCCCCCCCAAGACAAAATCCTGGCCACGCCAGTGATACTGGTTATAAGTGTACTAGACTACTGGTTAATAACAAAGCGCGCGAAGCGCGCTGTTTTTTTCTAGATTCAATACATGCAAGGACTAGTACGCATTACGTGGACGGGTTAGTTTGGGCTACTTTGTATATTTTTGCTTAGTTTCATTACAGTTCATTTAATACTGATTATAAGTGTACTAAATTCAATATTTACATGCAAGGACTAGCACGCATTACGTGGATGGGTTAGTTTCGGTTAGTTCAAAAATTATGGATTAAAGTATATCAATAACCATAAAACATATATTTTTTTTTGGAATTTTTGAACGCAAGGTTCAGAAAATAGGGGTTGACTTTAAACCTTCAGTACCAGTACTCAACTCGACCTCCATTTGGTACAACCTAGGGTGCCTAAAAAAATAATTGAGCAAAGCAAAGCTACATCTTTATCAATAAAACACCATTTATACTGTAAATAAATTTAAATAGGGTCATATTATACTGGAGTAACATCCAAATATAAATTCTCTTTAGCCGTTAAAGTTAAAGATAGTGATTCAAAAGTACAATTTTTTGGCGTTTTTGAATTTAGTGTAAATCTATATTTTCTGAGTTGTTTTATTAAATTCACTTTAATTTGCATCAAGGCGAATCTAAAACCTAAAATAAAGAGATACGATTATTGATTAGAACGAAAGTCAGCTAAATACTAAATCAATAAAATTACCTATACCTACACAATCTGGGTCCACCTCCAAAAGGCATAAACACAAAGTCGTGTCTTGAATGTTTATGTTCAGCTGCAAAGTTTTCCGGGTTGAATTTTTCTGGGTTCGGATAAAATTCTGGGTCCATATGGATGAGCCAAGCAGGAATAATTACGAAAGTATCTTTTTCAATTACGGTGTCAGTACCAGGAACCGTGTAAGTTTTGGTGCAGCATCTTGGAACTTCTGTTGCAGGCGAGTATCGTCTTAAAGTTTCTGAAAATATTATTTCACAAACATCTGATAAATTGAAAAAAAAATTGGCTCAAATGGGTATTGAAGTGTAATAAATTATGCTATTTGCTTCTAAATCGTGAAAATACATACCATATATACACATTTCAGAATACTTCATGTCTGCTAGGTCATCGTAAGTAACTTCCCCGCTTTGATTTTTTTTGCATATACCTAAGATTTCTTCTCTGACTTTGTCCTGAATGTCTTGATTCTTAGCCAGTTCGTACATGAGGAAAGTAGTTGTAGTTGATGAAGTTTCAAACCCTACAATTAGAGTTTTAGAATAGTATCTACTTAACTAATACGAAATTACTAATACCAACTCGGAGAGGTATCTTCACTTGAAAAATATATAAGAGCGACTGGATTTAAAAGTAGAAGGAAAGAGAAATTATAGCTACTAGCTAAACAATGAAAGACAGCAGGAAACTAGATTCATTCAAATTAGACCTTCACACGGCAAGGCTAATTTGAATCATCTCACAAGAGTAACATCGAGAAGAAAATTTCAACAAAAAAAAAATACATGAAATATGGGTCAAATAAGTGTGCAATGAAGATGTATGACCACATTTTTTGTGTTTTGAACCTCTATAACATTTTTGTGTAACCGGGGCCATCTGTCTTCGAATTTCCGACATCAGCATTCAACAAATTTATCTTTCTCTTGCTTTGCCAATCATCCTCTCTTAGTACCCTATTCGTTTTGACCAATTGAAGAATCAAGGATAAGAGTAGACAAAAGACATTTCCGCAAAAAAAGTTCTGTTAGTTGCAGCTTACTGTACGCTGCAAAACGCTCCAAGTACTATATGTAATTAGTTAGATGGTAAATGGCGAGCGGTATATTGATGGTGTTTATTTACTTGGAGCTGCTACCTAAAATCTGTGGAAGGGTCTATTTGCAAGAGAGAGAAACAAACTATTGAAGTGTACTAAATTATATTTTATTATACATAAAACCAAAATTTTTAATCAGCCAAATATCTTCCAATTCTGACAGCCTCGTCTATTTCTATAAATTCAATTACTTCACATCCGTTCTAAAATTGTTATTATTACGGACCACTGAAATATTCCTACTAAATAAGAAACGCCCTATTCTTACTATTCCTAATAACTTATAAGTTAACTCATTTCAACACTTCCGATTCATTCCTATTAAACTACCCTTCATCTATTTCTATAAATCCTTTAAAAGTTCTAAGTCCCTTACTGACTGCTTATGAAAAACCCAAAATAATTACCCATTTGTTCATTAATATAGGTAGTACTAACGTATTCTTATAAAACCATACAATAATTTCTACTTGAAAAATAAAAACCCTAATTCAAAATTAATTTCATGAACAAGAAGTTCCTTCAACAACTTTCCAATATTTTAACACAATTCTATTTCATGAACATCAAGTTTCTTTTCAAAATTTCCTATTCCATTTAATAGTTTATTTAATCAGAACAAATTCTATTATAAGTTTCCTTCAACAACTTTCCAATATTTTAAGACAATTCTATTTCATGAACATCAAGTTTCTTTTTAAAATTTTCTATTCCATTTAATAGTTTATTTAATCAGAACAATTCTATTGTCGGATTCCTAGCCTAGCTAATAAATCCAACTGTTTAATTCATAATTCCAACTCAAAATTGTATATTGTTAAATGCATTATAAGTTCCCTTCATATTTTCCTTGCACAATTAAATTAGAATGTCATTATATCTGAAGGCAATTAAAGTTATGCAATAATGTTCCATTGATATTTCACTTTATAGTCATTCATCTTTTATAAAGTCAAAAGTTTTACCAGGAAAATCATTCAAGTTTTTAGGCATTGAAAGTCATTTGTTAATTCACTTCTTATCATTTAGAATCATTGATAAAAGTCAGAAAATTATTAAACACTAAAGTACTTACATTTAACTTCGCACTAGTGAAATTACTTAATTAATTAATTACTGAAAATTTATAGCTAGCACGCACATAAATTAAACGAATTTCGAATGTTATTTCTTTCACAATTTTCCGTACTTTTTCTAAGTTAAATTGAACGCGTTTTCCGACGCCCTAATAAGAACTTTTCGCGAAGTTCAACCCTTCTGACTGTAGACTTTAACTCAAACTGGACTGGACTGCTAACTCATCTCTCAACTGACAACTGCCTTCCACTTCTAAAACCGCGGTATTTATATTAAATCGATCTTCCCGCAAAGTATTAATAATTATCCCCCAAAATCTTCAATAGGCGGTCGTTTGACGATCAATCAGACAATCCCATTGGCCGACCTAAATATTATTAAAAATAATGATGCAATTTCCTTGAAATTTTTATCATTTTAAGTTTAAAAAATCGAATAATTATGTCGCAATATACTGATTTATCGTGGTCGAATACAGTGGTTCAAAAATGCCATAAATCATTCGATTTAATTAACATGGCCTCGCTAAAAAAAAAGTTCATTGATCGGGTGTTAGGATGACATCACCCTGTCCTCGTTTTTATTATTTTTAAGAATCTAATTTAGATGATGACATAGGCTGGGTGTCGAAATACGTTAGCGTTAATTTGTTTCATTTTTTAATTTATCGATACTGATTTGAGATAGTATCGGAAATTCAGTTTTTTGATTGTTTGATTAAATTTAATTTTCACAGTAAAGACATTGTAATTATCGGGACTATTTTCTCGGAATATTACATTTCCAAGCTTTGATATAAGGCCAACAAGGCTTATCTGTGTTGTGACGCTTGGTGCTCTGTTCTTACAGTAAGCCGCCCTTTTGTGTGTTTCTGCCTATGAAGCTCCCTTTGTGTTACGTCAAGAAGTCGCAACGGCTCATATTTTACAATGCCTCTCTTTGTGTGACAGCTTAAATAGCAAAGCCTTAGTGGCACAGTATCTAATCAGTCTGAGGTTTGCAGACAACATATGTCTCATTTCAGACAGGGTAGATCATGCATGTCAGCTTCTCTAGGATCTCCGAAGCTCTTGTGCACGAGTTGGACCTAAAATCAATTTTTCCAAAAAACACAATTCATGACCAACCTTGTAGGTACTTGCCGACATGGGCAGCTTACAGAAAACTGAGTGATGTCATTAAATCAGATATTCCCATGTGGTTGAAGATCAATGTGTGCTTCTAGTTCTAACATATGGAGCAGAAACGGTAACTCTATCCCGAAAAGTTGTGAACAAAATCCAAGTGGTACAGAGTGTAATGGAGCGATCAATGTTAAATATATTCCTCAGAAGGTTACGAATCAACCGGGGTTACGGAAGCAGTTGAAAGAATTACAACCCTGAAATGGAACTTCTCAGGTCATGTTGTCAGAGTCAGAGATGTGAAATGGTAGGAAAATACTCGAATGGAGGCCTAGATATGATGTGTATCGTAACCGAGGACGTCCCTCAACAAGATGGCCGGACGACATCAAGCGCATCCAGTTCAACTGGATGCAAAGTGCTCAAGACTGGAGGCGTGGAATGATTTATTGGAAACGTATGTCCAGCGGTGTACTCAAAACGACTGATGATAATAATAGTGTTGTGCTAAGGCTTGAAAAAACCTTTTTCCGTAACTTTTTCCTTAGCCTTGGAGGAATGGAAAAAATGAAGATAGTCACCTTTTATCATTTAACGGGAAAATTGGGGCGATTTTAAAAAACCCAATTGATCACTAACCTGCAGCATACATAACCATGGTATTAGCTATAAGTTCCTTTTCATTCAACTGATTTTCATTCTGTAGTTGTATTAAAAGGTCCATATAATCTTTCCTAAAAATTCACAAATTTCACCTAAAACCGATCTGAAAAAATATTATATTTTATACCTTGACACGTTGTTTTTCTTTCTATAAGCGACCGTTTCCGTAATCACTTGGGTAAAGAACTTCGTAATTTTTTTGGGTGCAAATGTATGTCCCAACGCGCCAAGTAGGTTCCAATTAATGAGCATTTCCATGACAAATCTCACAGGTCTTGGAGCAAATATCAATTTGCCATACTTCCTAAATTCGCTCTCTGGCACATTCAAGCAGTCACTGTCCAGACCAAAGAAACATGTAGCCACAACGTCAGTACCAAAACATGCTGCATGCTCTTTTATTTCAACTGGTTTTCCTGTTTTGGCATAGTTTCCAGCTTAAAAAACGTCATATTTTAATATGACATATATATTACGAATTAAAGTTATACCTACTTTTCTTTTCAAGACGGTCAGCTAAACTATATAGTATCTCGTACATGCCCTTCATTTTTCCAGAAGTGAATGTTGGTGTCAATTTTGATCGTAGGTTTTTCCAAATCTCTCCCTCGACGTTAAAAAGATGATTATGCATATAGTCATTTTCGTGGTGAAATAATCCATGAGAGGTAAAGTGTTCGAAATCTTTGGTCAAAATTTGTTTGATTAATTCCGGATTGACAGGCAACAAGACAGGACTATAAAATAAATATATTCCCCCTGAAAAAAATTATTTTATGTCCGATTGACCAATAAAGTGCTATTTATAGAACAGCTTTGCGTCAATAAAGTAGCACTTTATTGTACTAGTAAAATAAAGTGCTACTTTATTTTACTAGTAAAATAAAGTGCTACTTTATTGCCTACCTGGACAACCTAACAAGGTGAAACAGGTCCTGACAACTTGCCAAGGTGAAACAGGTCCTGACAACCTGCCAAGGTGAAACATATATACCTACGCGAATTTTACTTTTTTCATTAAATTTTTTAAATTTTTAACAAAAATCAGTCGCAATCGTACATAAAATCATGTATATAACGCTCACATAAACAGGCTTTATTTACTCATTATTTAATAGCCTCGCTCGCAAGCTCGCTCGGCCATAAAATTATTCGTACAATAAAGCCTTACTTTATGTACTTCTCATATAAATAGCTATTAATCAATCAATTGAATCCTTCTACATCAGGCGATAGAAATAACTGTCAAAAAAATTCATTGGGACCCGGTTTTTTGCATTTACTTATTACAGAAATAATATCGTCTTCAAAGTCTCCATTGTAATCTTGGTCCCCACGATTATTATTATCATCCTTCAACAAATCGTAATAAGTGATACAAGAATAACGAATTTCCATATTTTGAACACATGCAAGATGCAAGGGAGTACGAATTAGTTTTGAATTCAAATTTACTTTTTTCACAATGGCTCTTTTCTTCTATTTCTTAATTTTTATTGAAGTTTTTGGATTAACTAGCCGATTAGAAAATGTTTTCGGAATTCCCTAATTTTTTATCTTTTGGGAGATTAATTCCTCAATTTTTTTATCTTTTGGGTATTTTGGAAGATTATCTTCATCCCAACTATCTTGCGAAAAATTTATTATTTCTTCTTCAGAATTTTTGTTTGTGTTTACATTTCTGTTGTTATTTGCGTCTACGTGGTCTGTTGAGTCAAAAATTGAAACTTGGTTTTACATTGAAATTGAAAAAAAATACAACAGTAATGATTATTTATTTGTCATTTATAATTTCTGAGTCGCTCTGGACCTCAGTAGATTTTATTTCCGGGTTTTTCTTACACCACTCTCAATCATCCTATATATCCACTATGTTTCACTCCTCACTAGGTACCTACTTCTTAATTTTTTTGATAGGTTTACTTCAGTAAAATTCAGATTTTTCATGGAGCGATAAATTTGACGTTAGCAGCTTTAACTAGATCTTTGGAACTCGATTTTAAATATAAAGTCCTTTGGCGAAGTAAAAATTCTCGTAGCTTATTGTCTAATTTTCAAATAGAATACGATGGAAGTCACTCCGTAGAGTGTGTTGGTGGACTTGCTCCAGTAATAAGTCACTATTCTCATATCACTTTTGGCTTCCAAATAGACCACGGGGGGTTTCGGGAAAATTCACCATAATCACTATACGCTTCCTGCGGCTTTTATGCGAAATGTAACTTTGTGACAATCAGCATAACATAAAAAATGCATTCAGTTTCATAGTTTCAAAAAACTATTTTCCAAGAAGTTCATGTGATACAACGTGATGATAAAATCAGCAGAAATACTTTCCAGGTATAGATATTCCCACTTTACTCGATAAGAGATAGCACAAAATTATTATAATACCAATGATAATTTAGTATTTAGTTTATAGTATATAAAAGTAAATATTGTAATGTGAAACAATGTAGTTTCAAGGCTCTAAAATTGAAATGTCCAATTTAATTCGTATATTATTCATTAGATAATTTTCGTTTTTCGAATTATTCGTCATAATTACTAGTCAATTAAGTATAATAATTATAGCTTTGGTCCAACAAACCACGAGAAAACGATGCAATGTTGGGTCATATCCGATCGCCTTACAAAAAAAAATTATACATATTTGATGCTTGTCATCCTATTACATATTTTAATTTTTATAACTGCCCCGAACTACTTACAAATTTTTTTAAGCAGGAAAAATGTCTCGATAAAAACAAAGAATATTTGAAGACAATGCTCGGAATAGGAGAGGAGATAAAAGGCAAGTTGAAACAATAACCATCAGAAAAAATACAAATAAATAATTACGAATGCAAGATTATTATCCTCATTAATTCACCAAATAATATGCTTTTAAGTGAAGTTTAAATTAACTTAAGTTCTAAGTTTGACTTACCATAAAGTTCATTTTTTTTCTTCAAATCATAGTAGTACTTTCTGCAAATTTCAATAATCTTAGCTTTTCCTTGAACAGCCTCTCTAACATTTCCGAAGAAGAACTCGGGCTCAAATTGCCTTACACCCCTTCTTCTCCAGTAATTGTGTTTATATTTCAAAAAGAGGAAAGTTGCAACGCAAAGCGCCAGAAAATATACCGGCCACCAAATCATATCGAGATGCAGTTTATTGCACAAACACTGATATCAAATGATCGCAGATGAAGGTCAAATCCGCAATTTATATATAATTCCTTGGTAACATTACTGTATAGAATTAACGGCACGCGGAAATAAGGTTTGGTGATGTAAAAGATGACTTTACGAAAGTGGGCCAATGAAAAAAATAATAAGATCATCATAAGTCATAATTAGGAACAGAACCCCGATTAGGGGAAAGTGTTCTTAAAGTGTTCCACAATGAGACAAAAATTGCGTTTCGGTAAATAGCCAGAAATTATGATTGAATTTCGTAGTTTCGATGTTGCATGCTCATAGATTGATATATTTCCCATAATTTAACGCAAATTATTAAATCGATTCAAAAAATAAAAAGGGGAATTTTTTCAAAACGCGATTTTTGTCTCATTGTGGAACAAGTATGTTCCACGGTGAAACAAGTCCATTTACACCAAAAAACACTACAAAAAATATTGAAAAAAACATTCATGAAAGAAAAATAACCATTCTTTCAAAGAAGCACTAGAGTAACTTGAAATATTTATCCGATAGTTGTCAGATCGTCTCATTGTGGAACAAAACCAGATGTCTCATAGTGGAACTTTTTCCATATCTTTTTAAGAAGTTGGCAAAAATGTATCGTCTGTTTAGGCGGTTACACACGGACGTGGATGTCTGAAAACATGTACGCCATACATGAACGCGCAAACAAAAACATCAATGTGTATGCAAAATAACATCGCGTTTTTGAATGTGCAATTTTGTATGCACACTCGGAATACTGTAGCAAGAATAGCAAGACTGCAGTTTTGTGCGAGCGTCTGTACAAAGGCGCCATGCACGTTGTTGTTTGCACGTTGATGTATGCACGTATATGTATTAAGCCATCCACATCCGTGTGTAACCGCCTATTAGCAAGACTGCAGTTTTGTGCGAGCGTCTGTACAAAAGCGCCATGCACGTTGTTGTTTGCACGTTGATGTATGCACGTATATGTATTAAGACATCCACGTCTGTGTGTCCGCCCTTTTAAACATCCCTAGTTTATACAGAATCCCAATTCAGACATGCCTAAACAATTCCGGAATTTCAAATTTATCAAAAAACCACCGATTTTTATTTAATCACCAAGTTCAAAAAGTTATTTCGAATGTTTCATTGTGGAACACTTTCCCCTACCCGAGTCGCAATTATCCGAGTTCTGGATTTACCCAGTCAATATAAAGAAAGACCCCCTGATTATCCAAGATTATCTCGAATAACCGAGGTTCTACTGTAATAGAAGATCAGTGGCCCTATTTTTCAATTCTGCCAATAAACGCAGGTACAAGGTAGGGACACTTTTTCTAAAATCTTTGGAACCCCCAAAAATTAAGGAAATTGGCTAATACCTAATAAGTATGTTTAAGATATTCGTAAAAAGTATTATTTAGTATACAAAAAAAAACTATATGTAAATAGAGTTCACAAACTGTTTATATAGGCAGGGCCGGATCTAGGGGGGGGGGGGAGGGTCGAACAGGGGCGCGTGCCCCCCTTTGCAACTTAGGGGGGCGGCAAAAAGAGAGGACACTGTCTTACTTTTTTTTATTAAACATAAATATCTATGTGCACGCAGACAAATACATACAAATAAACTCAAAAATATAACGCATTAAATGAATCAAGAATCAATCGCCTTCTGTTGTACACTTGGCCAAATATAAAACTGGCACAGGCAATATATATTTCATAAATTTGCCTAGTGTAAGTCAGGCTTAACAACAAAAAGTCTCTTCTGAAAAACTTTAGGTCAGACAGTTTTTGTCAACGTCAAAGCTGAACAAAGGTAAATGCAACATGTTTATGTTATGATTGGTTTAAATATGACACTGACTTGACACTTTTTGTCATTGTTAAGATGATAAATAAGGTCGATTTATACAATACAACACGATAGAAAAATGCGTACCAGTTTTATAATTGGCCAAGTGTACATAACAGTCAGTAGGTACAACATTCAATCCAGCACAGCTGTATTGAGCGCTACGAGCCCACCCAGATGAAATTACTCGTCAAATATTGAGCCATTGAAGAAATTAAGTTTTTTAATTCAATCTTTAATATATCAATAAATTATTTTATGTACGACCCACACTGTAAGAGCTTATTACGTAACTCATTTCAGCCTGTTTGAGTTACGATATAAATTGTATTATCGTACTTAGTGATGTATTGAGCTCAGTAATTAACTAATTTTTATTGAAAAACGGTACTTTTTGAAATTCATTCATTCTAGTAGTGTTAGGTATCTACTAGGTTATGAATCTATAACACAACTAGTTTTTGAGTTTTGACAAATTGAAAAAACATTTTTCTATTTTTCGATTTGCCGATAAAACGTTTTACATTACACGTGCGTTTAAACATGAGTACAGAACTCGTGTGATTAGAACGACTCGGTCTACGACCTCGTCGTTATAATCTTTCACACTCGTTATTGTAATCATGTTCATAAACGCTCTTGCAATGTGTAAATAACTATTTTTGGAGGCTTTAAATTCATTTTTGGGCGTGGCACCCAAAAAAAAACTTCCAAAGCACCTGCGTTGGGCTTCAACTACTAGGTCCTACTTTATGTGTGAACTCCTTCTAGTATAGACCTCGAGCCGCCACTACTATATAAATATACATATATTGTAAAATCTAAAATCTTCACACCTCATTTTTGAATAAAATACATAAAATAGTTATTTATGCAACACGTGTGTAAAGTGTGCTTTACGCACGTATTGCATACAAATTTTTTCTTACTACGCACAGTAGTAGCAAAAATAATATTTAACAGAGGGCGGCAATTTACATCTTCGCCCCCCCCTCGAAAAAATCGTAGATCCGGCCCTGTATATAGGTAGTGACTTACATTAGCTTAGGCAAGTGTCTTAGAAAAACTCCATCCTTAAGATCCTGCAGGTTTGGTATAGATTTGCTCAACTCAATGCAATTTACCTACAAAAAGAATTGATGAGAGAGTAGCTCAAAATATCATAAAAGCATTAGATTGACTTCACTTCAAGATAAAGTGAAAGTACCATTTAATTCTTTCCTGAACGGTTTATGATCTTTATCATGAACACGGTACACAAAAACCACTAACTTACTCTTTTTCGTCAGAAAAAGAAGCTGAAAGTAACGTGGCAACATCGAAAATTAAAGCATTGGCATCTCATCGACGTGTCATGAAAATATCCAGAGCTATAATCCATATCGATGGCTGCTGAATGGATCACCGAATGGTCCGATCTGTTAGACCCTTCAAGTACCACCAAACGAGAGATTTAAATATTGAGCGACTGAAAGATGGAGTCACCCGAACAAACTTTCAATTCGAACTGAATAGAAAACTGTCTGCTGAATATCCCGACGATATCGAAAAGCACTAGTGAAATGCTTAAAGCAGGTGTGCCAGGGCCGTATCCCGGAGGAGGCATTGGGAGGCAATGCCCTATCTTTCAAATGATCATGCCCTACCTTTAAAACGCAACATGCGTTAAGGTTTCTCTAGGAAATTTAAGTGTAGATAATGAAAAGGCCTGAAATCGAGTAAGTGCGAGGATAAGTGTTTCCGAAAACTCCTAAATGTATGCAACAATTTTTGACGTTCATGCAGAGGAAGTTTTTGGTTTCGAAAGAGTGCAAATGTAAGGATAATACGAGAATACACACTAGTCTGACCAGCGAGTCTGTGTCTACGGGGCAACGGTAAGGGGAATGCAGTTGTAAAAAAAAATGGCTGATTTCATTCATAAAATACCCAGCTGCGTGCGGAACTTTTTGGAAATGTTATCCTATTGCAACTCTTACACGAAAATCAGCAATGACCAAATCTCCGCCACTGGATATTTCAATATAAATCGATATTCCAAGATGGGAGGATAAAATGACGTGAGCCCTGGCCAATAGCGAGACGTAAGGTGACGTTAGCTCATTGACTACTCTATGGTTCCCCATGACAACGGCGATCCTGCCAAAAACTCCACCAATCAGGTTCATCCAGGACGGATGCTTGCCAAATTGTCAAAAGCTGATGGTATCTTTAGAAAATGTTTATTTTTTACAATAGACCAAATTGAAGAAATCAGGATTAAAATAAGGATAGATCTAACAACCACGTTAAAATATTTAGCATTTTATTATTGTTATCAATATTTTGTTATTAAAAAATGGATTTTTAAATTAACTATACTTCATGCCTAGTATTTTCGCTTTTTTATAATTAAACGTGGCAACATGGCACATTTACGTCCGAATTCCTTCCGTAGACTCAGATCCGCTGGGCAAACAATACTACACAGGATTATTGCTTATCGGCCTCATTTGTGGAAATTGCGGCCATATGGTGTAACACTATTGACGACATCATTGTAACAAGTTGGGGGCGACTTGTTATGCTTGGTTTGCTAATTACACTTACAAGAAACACAAATTGACTAGTCAGACTATTTTAATATCACAGATGGTTTTACATGTTACTAGATCGACGTTCCAGACGAGAGAGAGAGAGATTTTCTGTTCAGCTACGTCCGTCCTGTACGGATTAGAAAGCGCCATGCCACTGCCTCCTATACTTAACAAGCCATGAAGTTGGAAATGACGGCAACGTCGCGTATGGTGCTATTTTGTTATTGGGTTATGTGTTTCTGTGTATTGCTTTCATTGTGTATTGTTGCAGTTTAGTATTTTTGTGGGCATTATTGACGAAAAAGTGGATAGAAACACACCAATATATTGCCCATATTTAGTTGATACCTGTTCCTTTGTGCTTTGATTGCAATTTTTTAGCAAATGGGTACAGGACCAAAAATGAAGGTAAGGTGAGATAAAACAATAAAAACAATATTAATATTTGTCTGCAAGAGCATATGTCTTGATATATTACCTAAGATATTTAAACTTGTTCCAGATGCCATGAAACTACTGTGTTCCTGGGTGCAAATCGAACTATTAGGAGTTCCTTAAAAACTGAAGAAATGCAAACA